TGTTCGCCGTTAATGGTCGTCGTGAGTCTTAGAATATAATATCAATAAAGGATATATTAAATCATATATAGTTTGCCTAGTTCTTATTAAGTATGGTTCATATAAATTTAAAATTAAATCATAAATTTAAACATTTTCGATAGTAAAATTTGTAAATAAGTGTACTTGCGCATTTTTTTCTTCCTATTTGTATATATATATGATTTTTAATAAAAATATTAGTTCTCAATAAATACTATTTTCAATTATATATAACATTTTAAAAATTAAAAAATCGTGAATATCGAAATAAATTAAAAATAAATACTTTTATACTAAAGAGATATAATAAAATATATTTTTGACAATAATTGTTTGAGAACTGATCCAATAAATAATACTAACTTGCTTATTGACTATTTTAACGCACTTTCTAACACATTTCTTTAATCACTATAATTAAATTAATTTATTGTATATTTGTTTTATTTATTAAAGTATTTTAATGCATAAAGGTGGATAACACAATTTGAATTTCGTTAACAACTGTGGCACATCTACCATATATAATATACTATATATTTTTATATATTATCTCGAAATGAAATTTTTTTTAATTTGTATGCACTCTTTTAATTAAAGCACATATTTTTTTACTGTATACTGCATGCACAATACATAAACATTAATACTCTTACATACATACAATATATATATTCATAAATAATCAGCACATATGCATATATAGCAAAGATTCTTAAGCATTTTATATTTTCTTGAAAAAATACAGACACCTGCCAGTGGTTATCCGGGTGCCATAGATGATCTTATATTCTCTGGAGCCGGTTCTGGTTGTCGTGGCGATGATGAAGATGAATGTACACCACCATTTGAATCGGGCAGTGGTGATGATCTGATAACTCCAGTTTATGTGCCACCTACCAAACAGACTACAACCTCACAAAATGTCAGTACTGATAAGAATAATAATGGCACCGAGCGGGCTTGTGATGACGAGGATTGTGTACATGGATCTGGAGACTACGGTGAGACAACTGAACAATTTACATCCACCAGTACAGCGAAGATAATAGGTAAGTTCGAAAACTAATAATTTTCAAAACGTCAGTGTTGTCATTTCATTGGCACGTCACTCATAACAATTGGTTTGTATTTTTAGTAAATTCTTTTTTAAATTATTAGCTGATATATATATATATTTAAAAAAATTTTAATAGATTTTTTTTATTTTATGAATATATATTTATTTTTTTTTTCGATATTTTACAATGTTTTTTTTAATAATTTATTTAAATTTGTTTTAAATAAAAGCTGAGTGGTTGAGGTTCTATATATGCTAAATATATGAAAAAAATGTAGAAGTATAGACAATTAGTCATATTTTTGATTATATATACTTTACATATGTAAGCATTAATCAAATTTCTTCAAGATTCATTTTCCCTAATACAAAAATTAAAATATATTTTTTTGCAAAAAATATACATAGTAGCTCTCTGATTTCATATAACTACATACACATATATTCCTATCTGAGGTTCCATCCTCTAACTAGCATGATAGTATACCTATTTCAAGTCACATTACTATGGTTCTTCAAGAGCCTGTGCTCATAGTTTTTCATTATCAGAGTATTATCTATAAATACGAACATATCAGTTTAATTTTAATGGCTCCTACTCCACTTGGAGTTACGTATTTATCACGCATATAATAAGGCAATTTAAAATAAATAGTATTCAGTTCTTCTATTTCAATATATCAGCCATATATAATATTTCCGTAATATAGTTGAATTTTATTATTATATACACTTATTACTACAAGCATACCTGTTACAGTCAGTATCTATAATAAACTGTTCCTCATTTTTAGTTGTTGTACATTAAAATAAAAATTTATTTTTTATACTTTCCCAGCTTTTTTATATGCCAAATATCTATTATATATAATATATTACATCTTGCGTTTGCTATTCATAGTTGAATTTAGAGCAGGTTGTCCTTGCGTTTTTATTATTAAAACCTGCCTATGGCTAAGTCGATACTTTAACTTGTGTATTCACCACATTACATTGAAACAACCTTCGTAATCATAAACATGTCCACGCCCATGGCCACTTCTAAACCAGTTTGTATTATGTTGCCATTATCTCTTTCAGAAAATGAACTCTTCATATTTCTGACTGTGCTCGCGCAATGGAAACTTATGTTCCATATAATGAATTTGTAGAAATCCACAGTGTTACAAAAAGAGAGAAAAAGAAAGAAAGAAAGAGAGAGAGAGAGAGAGAGAAAGAACTACAGGCAGCAGCAAATACAATGTAGAAAAGAGACTAAGACTCTGATATGAATCGAAATTGAATAGTTTAGAACTCAATGTACATATATATATTTTGCTAGCACCGATGTGTATGTGTGTTCCTCGATTATTGTGTGTAATAAGAATAAAGTACAATATATCAAATATTATATATCTAATAACAAAAATATGCAATGTAAATACTACAATATATAATGTTAATGTTTTTATGTTAATTTTTGATTTATTTTTATTAAAAAACTAATTACCTTCACAGGTATTGTACAGTTTATTGTGTATTCGTTAATTTGTGTTCACGTACAAAATTCAATAAAATTAATTAAATAAAAAATTTTAAAAATATTAAATGTGATAATATCAATTATTCTATTATTCTATATTGATTTCTTATTAATTAATGAACTTTCAATCACTCAAATGTTTTGTATTACGTTATAATCATGAATGAAAATTCCTTTTTTGCTATAGGAATTCTTTTTTATTATCAACTCAATCACTAATTACTTTGTTATGGTATTTCAGAAACCAATAATGAAATTATATCAACTACTGATGGTTCATCAAGACGTACTGAAGTTGCTGTTACTACAGAGCAACAACACACCACTAGCACTGCTGTTGCCAAAACAGAGTTGCAAACAAACACACCACGAGAGATAGCTACCACAACTAGCGGCACCATATATTCGCCACGTCAAACAACAACACAATTTTCCCCACCCACAACAACCACTCAACGTATAACAACAACCACAACTACAACAACTACAACCACACAAGCAACACCACCACCAGAAATACGTTCTACTGTCACAGAGCATGATACGACCACTTACGATATAGTACATGTTTTCAGTGGTGGAAACGGTGACAAGCATGGTGAAGATGAAAATTTAAATATTTATAATGGTGAACACACTTTGACACCGGATGAACGCCCACTACCGCCAGCTATACCACCATATGAACCAGAATCTGGTGTGCCACCGTATTATCCAGCCATACCGCCACCTCAACCACCATATGGCAATAATAATTATCGGCCAAAGGGTAAAGGTGGTCGCATTAACTCGATTGAAGAAGAACGTACTGCCATGATTATTGGAATTGTAGCTGGTATTTTAATAGCAGTCGTATTAGTTTTCATACTGGTGTTCTGGTTGAAATCTTATGGTGATCGTGGTTACAAACCAGAGAGTGAAAAAGCTACTGCATACGGTTCACACAATCCAAATGCAGCATTGCTGGGTTCTACTGGTTCAAAAGGTTCCTATCCACGTCAGAGTCATCATCAGCAGTCATCTCAACAATCACTGACCAATGGGCATAATATGGGTAGTAGTGGTGGTAACGGTAGCATGATGGGTAACATGGGCTATGGTGGTATGGGTACTAGTATGGCTGTTGGGAACGTAGATGGTCGACCACAAATGGCTGGTTTAGTGCAACCAAAGCCAAAGAAACGAGATTCAAAAGATGTCAAGGAGTGGTATGTGTAAATTGTAGATTTGACCGCTATATATAGGTCATGTACTATGTACTCTTAAACAAATAAGTCAAATTAGCAATAATTAAAAGTAAAGGATATGCAAATACTCGAGTTACATTTTAGGACAAATAACAGATATAGACAAATAGTTTTATTTAAAAAAACAAAAACAAATACAATAAAAAAATAATAAAATTATATAAATTATTATAACAAATATTTAATGTACAAACTAATACCAGTAAAATTCATTGTTTAATATTATTATTTTGAGAAACTTGATAATAAATAGCGGCAAGTTAACAGTTTCTTTGTGAAGTTGTATGTTGAATTGAGAGTTAAGAGTAATAACGAAAGTATGTTAGGTGGATAATATCGTAATAAATTAGTGAATTTATTTTTTTAGTAAATTAAATTTAATTAGTAAATTTAAATAATAACACTTAAATTAATGTAATAAAACTGATTTGCAAATCAACTGTTATAATTTAGCACAGTTCAATGCTTTTTTTAACATAAATAATAACCGTAGCTAATAGAGTGCTGCACTGTTCTACCAGAACAATGATTTCTTAAAAAATGTGTTTATTAAAATATCTCTATTAAAGCACTGTTAACAAAATTAGCTGCCTTACTAAAAACTGTTAACTAACATATTCAGTAACATGGTTTTTAAAACTTGCTTAAAGCTCGAATTCCCTAAACTATTTTAAACATTTATTATGCTTTATTTTAAAGTAAACGCAAATTTAGGAAAAATAGAGTAAGTCTCACGAAATTCAATAAAATAGTGTTATTCCTTAATGGAGCTGAATTAAGAGAATTTGACCTACTACTTAACATAAAGTAAATACATATAAACAATTTATTTTTTAAACACATAAATTAGGCGTGAAGTAGTGAAATTTCTAATCAATGAAATTTGTTGACTTGCTGCTTACAATTTTTCATTTTGTTCCAATCCTGTTAACAAAGTAATTTATAAATATATATAAAAATTAGTATGTATGCATATGTATACTGCATCCAACTCTTATGTACTACAATGTAAAACTATTTACAGCAACTATAAATAATATATATAGATATATAAATATTTATTGTATTCGAATATAAGTTAAATGTTAATAATATTTACAAAAAAAAAAAACAAGTTATATATACAATAAAAGTTTAGCTTAAGCTTTAATGAACCCGTTTGCCGTTTGTTTAACATTTATCCTGTAAACTAGAATACTAACT